GAATGCCAGAGGTTCCTGTGTGTTGTGACCCCGTTGGTCCTGCTAGACCCCTTTCACAGGGGTGGCCTAAGACCATCCTGCATATCAGATATTTACATTATGATTCATAGCAGTAGCAACATTACAGTTATGAAGTAGCAACGAAAATAATTTTATGGTTGGGTCACAACATGAGGAACTGCATTTAAAGGGCCAGAAGGTTGAGAACCACTGGGCTAGGGGAACAGGATGGGGAATGGGAGAATAAGAAATCCTGTTTAATGGACACAGATTTTATGTTGGGGATTATGACAAACTAGAGGCCTGCTGCACGAATTCATGCTCATTGAAAGGAAATTAATTAGAAGGTGGCCAGTGGGGCGGGACTGGGAGAGACAGATGGGCCAGACACACCCTGGAGCCAACCTTCCGCAGTCCCTTCCTGGCCAGCTGCATCTGGGCTGGCACTGTGGCTCAAAAGGCTTCTGTGGAGTGAGCGGGGTACCTCCAGCAGGTGGGGCCCCTCAGCCTTGACTGCGGGGATTGGGCTGAAACCGGCTCTCTGACATCCCCCGAGGGGTCCTGGAGTGAGAGGGCACTCTGCAAAGTTGCTGTAGTACAGGGTGTGGAACGCAAATGCAAATGTGCAGAAAACCAGAATCGGGCCGACAGTGCCCTAGCAACAACATAACCCATGGCCAAAGGTGGAAGTGCGTGGCCCCGCAAGGAATCAGGCTCCCTCCTCTCTGGTTCCGGGGTTTGTCACCCAAGAATCGCTGCTGCCAAGTCACTGCAGCTCAGCAGCTCCTGCTTTGAGCATCTGCCCCCTGGTGGTAGTGCACATCATAGCGACTGGTCAGATGGCAGGAGGGACACTTGGCATATTAGCCTTTTATATATATAGATGTCTGGAGATGACTACACAACATTGTATTTAATGCCACTGAACTGTATGCTTACATGTGGTCACAATGATATATATATTATGTTATATATAGTTTAGCACACAAAAAATAACAACAAAAAAGGGACTGTACCATTAAAAACATTTTTTTTTGGACTTCGGCTCAAGGATTCCCCAGAAGCTTTGCCGAACCTTCCTGGACTGCCCAGCATGTACAATGCTTCCACCCAAGCGTCTCTCCCTCTCCTTCACTTGGGATGGGCTTGCATCTGGGTCTGCTGGCTCTCGGGCCTTCCCCAGTTCCCTCCACTTCCCTCCACAAGGCAGTTCCCCTACAAGAGCCTGTGCGCATTTCATTTCACCTTGGCACCTGCTTCTTGAAGGACCAGGATTAACACGCAGAGTGAATGCAGCTGCTGCACTTGTACCCAGGCACCTGTGAGGCGCCTCCCTGGGCATCCTCAGAGTAATTACCAGGACACACTGAGCCACAGCAGGCTAACTCACTTCAGAAAAGCTTTTATTGAATTCAATTCCCAAAAGCACTGATTCTTGAGACAATTTTGATAGGACCCTGAATGTTTGCAGGGCTGTTTTTGGCTACTGTAAAAAAACACACGCACATCAGGGTGGCCCTACTATGAGGGATGGACAGTTCTAGAAGGCACTGACCAGTGACAGGGGTGGGGCCTGCCCTTCCTCAGGCAGCCAGGTCCGCAAGGGCCCTGTCCAAGGGGTCCACAGACCAGTAGTCGTCATCCCAGCCGAGGAACCAGCCCACGAAGGAGGGGGGCTCAAAGCCTTGCTTGACCAAGGTGATGGGGGTCCGCCTGTCACGATTCGCTGGGTCCGTCTCGATATACCGCTTAGCTGCATACACACATGCAGGAGAAGGAAACCAGAAATCCTCAGTGCCTCCCTCGCCAGGGAGAGGGTTCAGAGCAGGAGTTACCTTAGACGGTTTTTGGTCCTACTGTCCCTAATGCCCAATCTCTGCACTGGACACCACTGTCCCTTAAATGCAATGATACTCACAAGACTTTCCCACCACCCGCCCAGAAACCCAGGAGGGTTACAGCTTAACCTCCTGCCTCATTTT